ATCTGAAGAAGTCAAGGCTGCATCAGCAACTCACACCACGGACAGGCATATGCACGCCACTCGGATCCCAGGCAGGCTGCCCAGTCCTGGTGGTCTGGCGCGCGCGTGGGGCGAGAGGGGCAGGAGCAGGGGAGGTAGGGATGGCGGGAGGAGCGCCAGCGAGATGGAGAGTTGAAGAATCGATAGAGAGGTACGGGGTTGATGGGGTGAAAGGGAAGTGGAGGAAGGAAGGCAGGTGGGGGCGCATAGTGAGATAGAGAGAGGGGGGGGATGGACCGCGAGGCGGAGGAGGCAAGAGAGAGAGAGAGAGAGAGAGAGGGAGAGAGAAACAGAGAGAGGGCTGCCAGACGGCCTCGTTGAATTTGACCGCCATGCGCGAGTGCAGCGCTGGGTCGTCGGGGTTGCCGCCAGCGCGTGCCACGGCAGCCTCCAGAGCGCGGTGGCGATCAGCAGCTCCTTGGAACCGCGGGCATAGGATCGCACCCCACCCACCCCCCGTCATAAAACATGTCACTGTCGCAATCCCCTGGACATGCACGAGCCGATGCCACCGTATCGATGTGGTCGCGTTTTCATGGTGATGGGGCTCTCGGCATCCGCATGCAACTGCACGCGGACAAGACATCCTCGTTATTCCTGTGCGACTGCAGACCAGATGCATACACCCCACCCCGGCATGACGCTCTGCTTCCCGCTCCAGGGGCAGAGGGGGCTAGGAGGGCTGGGCTAAGCGGCTGTCACGGGACGGGGCTCAAGAAAATCTCAGTCGCGATGGATCAGGATGGGGCGAATAACGAGCGAAGGAACGGAGGGTATGAAGGATGATGGGTGAGTAGCAAAGCCGCGCCGCCAAACCCAAGGCGCGGGCGCGGGTCCTGCCGCGGCGGCGGCAGCAGCGCCGCTGACCTGCGCCTCGTCGAAGGCGGCGAGCTGGCACGCCTGACGGGGAGGGGGCACGCAACATCCCCCCAGGAAAGCAGGGGCGGGGAGGAGGAGGGGGAGGAGGAGGAGGTGGAGGAGGAGGAGGAGAAGGACAGAGGAGGAGGAGGAGAAGGAGGAGGAGGAACAGGAGGAGGAGCAGGAGGAGGAGCAGGAGGAGGATGAGGAGCAGGAGGAGGAGGAGGAGGAGGAGGAGGAGGAGGAGCAACAGGAGGGAGGGGGTGGAGGAGAAGGGAGGATGGGACAAGAAAGGAGGAGGGAGGAGGAAGAGAATGGCGAGGACGAGGAGGAGGAACCGCAGCAGCAGCAGGAGTAGGAGCAGCCAGCAGCAATTGCAGAGGCCATCGCGCCTTGTGCCAGCACGTCAGGCACACAGGGCACACGAGTGCTGATGGCCTGTCCCCGTCAGCCGCCCCGCCACCAAGCACTGTATCTCCGCACGCGAAACAGGGTTCCAGGCCCAGCGCCAGCGGGTTCAGCGATGCCTCGGCCATTGCGTAGACCCGCAGCGCGGAGTCGGGCATAGAGGTGCGCAAGGCTGCCTTGGCCTTGATCATTTGGGCGCCGGTGTTACCGATGATGAGCTTGACGTTGTCACCATCGCCATGTCGCGCCCGCTTGTCTGGCGGGCAGTAAACGACCCGATTCAGCTCGTCCAGGCGTAGCATGCGGCCAGTGAGCGGGGCGAGGACGTCGCAGTGAAACCAAACGGGGCGCACTAGATCATAGTCGCGCTCGGGCTCGTCGCCACCAGCAGGCGCGGCCGCCAGCAACAGAGCTACGTGCTTGACTTGCAGCGGGTTGCCGACAAGGCCATCTGCGGCCCGAAGCGATTCATAGACCGACGCACCCCACTTGTCAAGCATGTCATCCAAGTTGACCCGTGGACCTGGGTGCGCGAGTGGGGCGAGTAGACCAGGAGGGATGGCCATGTCCTCGGCCTTATGGAGCATCGCCTCCAGCACGTGCGCCGGCTCATCCAAGGCGAGGCCGCCGCGCGGGTCGACGCCGGCGGACTCGGCAGCCTGCGCGAGGATGTGTCCTGAGAAATCGCCAAGGGATGGGCGCATGCCCTCCCCACTGGACTCCCCCGCATCCGCCTTGCATTCGCCTCCTCAGCATCCTCATCCTCCGCCTCATCCTCCTCCTCCTGGACTCCTCCTCCTCATCCTCCCTCCTCCTCCTCCTCCTCGTCCTCCACCTCATCCTCGCCATCCTCCTCCTCCCCCCCCTGGGCCCCCACTCCTCCTCCTGAGCGTCCACTCCCCTCGAACGCTTCCTCCCCCGCAACATCCCCCCGCGGTCGGCGGCGGGGTGGGCGGGAGAGCGGGGGCGGAGGAGGGGCGGTGGTTGATTTTGCCGACGCGATTGGCATACATGCGCTCCTCCAGCGTCAGCTTCGTCCCGGACAACCTGCAAGGCCCGGGCCTCGTCGGCGCGACCCTCACCTGCGCCGACGGTCGCGTCGCCCGCCTCATCGTCGTTCACGTCGTCGTCGATGGCGTCGGCGTCGGCCGTGCCCTGGAAGCTGGCGTACAGCGAGGCCAGGATGGCGCCGTCGTCAGACGCGCCGCCATCCTCATCATCGTCATCGTCACTGTCACTGTCCAGTACTGCTGCTTTCCGGCGCCCTCTCTGACGATAAGCGGTGGTGAAGTCGAAAGGCGTCGATCGGGGCTCAGCTTGAATGCGTGCCGAAGTGAGAGCGTCGTCCAGCCAAGCAAGCGGCACGTGCTCGATGGCGACAGCGCTTCCAGCACGCCACTGAGCGACCAAGCCGTGCATGCGATTGTGCACCAACTCGATGGACAAAGGGCGCTGCAGCTCGAACGCTTCGACGGCACCGCGCTTGGACCCAGCTGCAACCCACGCGCGGCCACAACCACTGCCGAACTTCAGGGCGACGAGCCAGCCAGCCTGTGATATGTCACCTTCCCGGGGTAACCGACGAGGGGGGCGAAGGGGAGGGGGGGAGGGGCCCTGAGGAGGGGGGGGGGGAGTACGATGATGAGGAGAATGAGAGGAGGAGTGTGAAGGGGGGGGGGGGAGTTGGAGGCGGAGGAGGGGGCGAGGGGGGGCGATGAGAGGGATAAGGAGAGGAGGAGGACCACCCGAGATAGCACACGTGACACCGTGACACCTAAGGTGACAAGCAGGTGCCTCTTCATCTGGTGACGTCTTCCCCACCCTTCTCCCCCTCCTCCTCCTGCGTCACGCCCCCTCCTCCCCCCCCCCCTCCATGCCGACTCAACCTTTCTCCTCCACCTCCTCATCGCCTCCTCTCCTCCTCCCCCTCCTCCTCCTCCTCCTCCTCCTAATCCTCCTCATGCCTCTCATCATCCTCATCTTCCTCCACCTCATCTTCCTTCTCCTCTGGACCCCGCGCTGTGACCCTCCTTAAGTCACCTGCGATCGATGTAATCGTCGCGACCAACGCGGCGGTCGTGGACGGGGTGCTGACCACGCTGCCGCCGAAGTGTTGCTTGAAGCGGGGGAAGATACGCCCGAAGCCTTGCATCACGGGGTCTACGGCTGGCCGGTGCCCCCCCCCCCTGCGACGCCAGATCCTAGCTGGGGGAGCGGTGAGGTGAAACGAAGGATGGTAAGGAGGAGGAATGGAGGAGGAATGCAAGGCGGTGGAGGAAGAGAGGGGGCAGGAGGAAGAGGAGGGTAGGGGGGAGGAGGAGGAGGAGGAGGGGGAGGAGGAGGACGAGGAGGTGGAGGTGGTGGAGGGAGGAGTGGGGGAGGAGGATGAGGAGGAGGCAGTGCATGGCAAGAGGGGGAGAGGTGAGCGGGAGGAGGAGGGGGGGCCAGGGAGGAGGGCAGTAGTCTGCAGTGGAGAGAGGAGAGGAGGAGAAGATGAAGATGAGGAGGAGGAGGAGGAGGAAGAGGAGGAGGAGGACCCGCGACGGCAGCGTGGGGGGGGTATCTGCCAGTATCTGCGGGGCCCATCCTCGAGACCCCTCCCCCCCAAACCCCACCACCATCGTCGAGGCGAGCGCCCCTCCGGCTGAACCGAAACGACATCGTCAAGATTCCCCTCCAGGACCCCACTTGGAGGGGCACGCGAAGGGCGTCGGAAGTGGCGGGGTTCGCGAGGCGGGGCCCTAAAGATAGATCTCTGGGGTGGGAAGGGGCCCAGGGGGGGGGGTCTCAAGGAGGGGTCTTGCGGCAGGGTCTTGGGAAATGTGACTCTTCAAACCTCCATGTGAGGTGGGGAGAGGAGGGGGAGGAGGAGGAGGAGGAGGAGGAGGAGGAGGAAGAGGAGGAGGAGGAGGAAGAGGAGGAGAGGAGGAGGAGGTGGAGGAGGAGAGGAGGAGGAGAGAGGAGGAGGAGGAGGAGGAGGAGGAGGAGGAGGAGGAGGAGGAGGAGGGGGGAGGAGGAGGAGGAGGAGGGGGGAGGAGGAGGAGGAAGGAGGTGGGGGGGAGGAGGAGGGAGGGGAGAGAGGAGGAGGTGGAGGAGGAGAGGAGGAGGAGGGACAGGGACAACGTCGAAGCTGCGTCGCCCTCTCACCCGATAGTCCTGCCGCAGGCTCTGGCGCTGCTGGAGCTGCTGGGGCTGGCGGCGGCAGCGGCAGCGGCGCCGGCGCAGCAGGCTCCGCGGCCGCCGCCCCCTCCTCGGCGGGCACCAGCGCGCCTCCAGCCCTGTCGTCCAAGTAGGAGCGCAACGCAGCTGTCCTCGCAGCGTCCTGGCAGCGCGGGTAGATGGCAAGCACAGCCGCCCTCCTCACCCCCCATGACACGTCAAATCACACGACCCCGATTTTCCGCATCCTCATCATCCTGCCTCTCCTTCCTCGTCATCCTCTGTCTTATGCCCCGCTTACAGCACGCAACCACCGCTCAGTTCACGGCGCGCGGCACGGTCAGGGGGCAGTGAGATGGGAAAGGGAGAGGGGGAGGAGGAGAGGAGGAGGGGAAAGAGGAAGAGGATGAGGAGGAGGAGGAGGAGAAGGAGGAGGAGCAAGATGATGATGAGGAGGAGGAGGAGGAGTCGGGCTAGAACGAAGAAGGTAGAGTCGAGTGCTGAAAGAATGGCGATCACGGTCCTGGAGGATCGACATCGCGTCGTCGTACGAGTCCACGAGCTCCTGCAAGAAGGCCTTCTGCCCGGTGGTGGACGTGACGAGCGAAATGACCTTTTTGTTCACCACCCGTGAGTTTAGAAGCTCAAGGGCGATGTGGGGAGCAATCTGTTGACAGTGCCGCACGATCGAATTCATCCCCTCGATCTCTTGTGTGTCTAACGGCACGCGCTGGAACACGCGCAAGGTGAACAAGAACAGCGCGGGGTCGATCTGACCCTGGGTGACGTGCACCTGCTGCAGATGAGAACGGAAGATATTGACGAATTTTGCCTGGAATGTGCTCCTGTCGGCGTCGACGCCCAGTCGCAGGAGCTCCTCTGCGACGCGGGCGCGCTTCGCGCACCTATCACCAGGATGCGCGTCGCAGAGCCACGCCATGGACATCGGCAGCGTCTCGACCTACAGGGAACGGAGGGCAATGGAGGGAGTGGACGAGGGAGGGCAAGAAGCAGCAGGCCTGTCGACCCACCGCCGTTACCAACCCACGCCCGAACCCGATAGTTCGAACGTAAGACCACGCAATGGTCAACAGATCGACGGGCGCAGTAGAGAAGGGAGGCGGCAGCAGCATGACCTCGTGTCCGACTCGCATGCGGAAGTCCGCGGCGCCCTCGATGATCAGCAACACCGCCTCAGACCGCCAGTGCGAGCGGTTGCTGGCGGAGCTGTAGCCAACGATGGCATCACGAATGGCACTGCTATCCAAGAGGCCGTCGTACATGCATGCGATCTCACCTGACTTCTGGACCACGAGCGTCTGCAGGGGAGATCTGGCGGGCGGGGGAAGACGAGCCGCAACCCGATCGCGCTCGGCCTTGGCCTCCTGCTGGAGCCAGTGGCACATTCGCATGATCGGCTCCTTGGTGTAGTGGGAGATGTGGACCCGCATCCAGAAGGACGGGTCCTCGATGTCGGCCATGGCCTCCTTCAGCCAACGACCGAGCTGCTCCCGGTACGACTCCGTCTCGTCCGGGTTCCCAGGCTCTTGCGCAGCTGAACCCTTGGAGCCTGAAGCGGATTCGCTTGCGCGGCCGCCGCGGGCAGTGCCCTTGCCCTTGGGGCCCTTGCCCTTGCCAGCTCGTCTCTTGGCAGTCGCAACGACCCTGTGGTGGTGCAGGACGAGGGCATCCTGGTACGTCGCCTTGAGGCCGTCCTTGCCGCAGCGCAACCAGTGGCGCTCGTTCTCGAATACACTGCCCCATCGGCCTGTGAGCGGCCGCTGTGGAAGACGAGACGTGACCTCCTTGGCGCGATCAGGGTACAGCAGTTTCCAAGAACGCGCAAGTCTGGCGGGGTTCCCAGCACTCCTCCAACAGTTTGTCAGCTTCGCCAGGGAGCTGAAGTACGACGCACCCAGTCGTTTCAGTGACCGCTTCACCACGAGGTGACACTGATGAGCCAGGCACCATGTCCACAGCACGAGGATGTTGGGCGAGTCTGAGAGGAGATCCCGAATCAACCGAGACGCCCCCTGCTGGTCGCCACCTTGGTCGGTCCCGAAGATGTACACCACCGGGAAAGTCAGCCCCCTGAGGTAAAGCTTCTCCAGCATCTGAGCGATGCTTCCTTCCTCGAGGCGGTGGTGAGCCTCGACTTTGTCATGCCGCGTGTGCATCCCTACTGACTTCGCAGCCTGGGCGAAGAGCAACAAGGCTTCAGGGCCACTGGCGTGCTCTGGGACAATGGCCAAGTCTGGCCAGCCATAACGGGCCAGCGTGCCACCGGCAAGGTCCTGCTTGCAGGAGCGCAACGCTACAAGAAGGGAGGGGGGCGGGTCAAGGGTGGAGGACGGGGGGCGAGGGAGAGGAGTGGATGAGCAGGCGGAGGAGCTGGAGGAGGAGGACGGACGACGACGACGACGACGACACCGACAAAGAGATTTAATATTATTCGCAGCAGGTCCTCTGGGCATTTCGGCGGTACGATCTCACTGTAGAAGTCGCTGCTGAAGATCCGCCAGCCCGACGAATGTCGGGCATGCCGGGCATGGTAGGGGCGCTAAGTGGCAATGCTCGCCTACATCGTCCTCATCGTCCTCGTCACCCGATGCTCCCGTATCGTGTCGCCGTCGACGTATTGATGTTGGCGGTGTATCGGCGAAAGCCATTTCATTTTGTGGCTCCTGAGGGTGCTCGCGTTGGTCGCGTCGCCTCGCAAGCAGTAGATCTCCCAGCCGACCATGTGCGAGATGTCGGCGTCCGAGTCGCGCACCAGGTCCTGCAAGGCAACGCCCAGGGTGTAGTACGCGCCCTCGTGCCAATTGCGGTTCAAGGCCACGTAACCAGCCGTGAGGGTCTGCTCGGCCCGCGTCACGCTCCACCGCGACACGGGAAGATCCAAGATGGCCGTGGTGCTCATCGTGCCGCCGTAGCCGAGGGCCTGCTTCCAGCCCAGCTGGAACACGCCGCGCGTCGTCAAACAGTGTCGCTTGGGCTCCTATAGGACAAGTGTGAGCACCCGAACACGAATCGCAAGGGGGAGGACCAGGCTCCGTCTTGCGGCTCGTCTTCAGGTACTCGTACTTCTCCTTCCACTGGGCGAGCTCCGCCCTGAGCTGCTCGATCGTCTTGTCCCTCGCCGCCGGGGCCCTCGGACAAGACCAAGTCGCCATTCGACCGCCGCCAACCCCGACGAATCAGCGCGGCGCGGCCAACTAGCCACCCGCGTTGATTCGTCGCGGACAGGGGGGGTGAACACGTTTGCTCTCGCATCGCCTGCCAAACCGCCGCCGCTCACCCCGAGGCAGTGCCGGCGGCAGCGGGCCGCGCGGGCGCATCCTCACTGGAATCGGTGGCGAGCGGAGAAGGGGGCGAGGTAGATAGGATGGAGGATGAGAAGGATGAATATGGTGAGGAGAAAAAAGGGAGGGGGGGTGCATGGAGAAGGCAGCAGCAGGGAGGAGGTGAGGAAGGACGTAGTGGTTGGGGTGCCGAGTGAGGGGGGGCAGTAGGCATTGGAGGAGGAAGAGGGCCGGAAGAGGGCAAAGGGGCTAGAGGAGGAGGAGAAGGCGGACGGGCGGGAGGCGGAAAGGAGGAGAAGGGTAAGGAGGAGGAGGGCGAGGTGGAGGAGGAGGAGGAAGAAGATGAGGAGGGGAAGGATAAGGTTGAGGAGGGCGGAGGAGGAGAGATGGAGGAAGAGGAGGAGGACGAGGAGGACGAGGAGGAGGTGAGGCGGAGGAGGAGGAGGAGGAGGGGAGGGGAGGAGGAGGAGGAGGTGGGTAGGGGGAGACGGAGGAGGAGGAGGAGGAGGAGGAGGAGGGAGGAGGAGGAGGAGGAGGAGGAGGAGGGACGAGGAGGAGGACGAGGGCGAGGACGAGGACGAGGACGACGACGACGACCACGACGACGGTTCCTGTGCAGCTTCGCCTTGAAGACGAACGGCCCAGCCACCACGTCCCGAGGCGCCGCGGGCGCTGGCGCCAGCGCGCCCTCGGCTGCAGCCGCCGGCGGCCGCGGCCGCGGCTGGGGGAGTTGTTTCAGCGGGGTTGCGGGGTTGCACGTCGTCGTCGCCGCCTAGGGGGGGAGACGGTTAGGGGTCCGATCGGGGGGGGTCGAAGGCGTCGAAAGCCGTCAGCAGCAGCAGCTAGAGCAGAACACGTGGGGGCTGGAGGAGGAGGAGGAGGAGGATCAGGAAGCGAAGGAGGAGGGCGAGGAGGTGCGCGGGCGGAGAGGGAGAATTACAGGACGGAGGAGGCGGAGCGGACGAGGAAGAGGAGTTGAGCCTGACTGGGCGGATGGAAACACAGGCTCCACCATGCACATCCTCCCCTCCATCGCATACGCACCCCCCCACTAGCATGTACATCCAAATCCTCATCAGCCCTCCTTCATCCTCGTCTTCCTCTGCCTCTAACACAAAAAAACGCTGTCCTCTGGGCGGTAAGCTGCCTGTTGGGTCAGCTTGGTGTAGACCGCAGCCTCAATCACCGAGCACGGCGTGTTGACGGTGAGGCCGAAGTGCTGGCGCAGCACCGCTGTCACGTCTGCGACGCTGTACGGTGGAGGCGAGGACGGAACCCACGCAGTCCCGCGATGCGCCTCCGGGCGCGGCGGGTCATTCTCCTCCTCCTCCTCCTCATCATCATCATCATCATCATCATCCTCATCCTTCGTCCTCCTCCTCATTCTCCTCATTCTCATCATCAGCATCGTCCTCCTCATCCTTCTCCTGCTTCTCATCCTCATCACCCACTTCCGCCTCATCTGCCTCCTCCGTCTCGTCTTCCTCCCCATGGTTCCCCTCTTCGTTATCCTAATCCTCTTCCTCATCCTCGTCCTCCTCCTCGCTATTCTCCTCCTCCTCCTTTTCCTCCTCCCCCTCCATGCTGCTCACCTCCCGCAGTTCACCCCCCTGCGACCCTCCCCAACCAACAGACTGACATCCTCACAATCGTCAGTTAAGCTGAAGGCGGGCCTGCAGCTCACGGGCCACGGCGGCAGCTGCGGCCCGCACCCCCGCGTGCGACGCGATGACCACCGAAGGGCGGCGGCCCTCCGCAGCGGGCGCGAGCGTGCCGTGCTCAAGCAGCGCTCGCGCGAGCGAGGCCCCCGCAGACAGCGGCATGGCGGCCCCAGGGAGGGCCCCCCGGGAAGGGCACCCGAGGGGCCTGGTGCCTAAAAGCACCTGAACCGAATACCTTGAACGGCCCCGATGAACCAGTTATCGGCCTCCACCCATGAAGCCCTACAAGAAACCAAAACAAAAAAAAACAATCAATTCATGAAATCCCAAAGCCTTCAAAGTCCTTCGGAGGAAAGAAAACATGAATACATGAATTGCGCATACAGCAACACATGCTATTAATATACATATTTATACAAGTTTAGAGAAGCGAAAAAGGCTGGCCTTGAGAACTGGTTTTTGCGATTCCGATGCGTTTCTATGGCGACTGGTGCATGTGGACCGTCGTGCGAAATACCTCTAGCGCTGCCCTAGCGAACCGCCGTGCAATCTACCCAAAGCGGGCTTTCCAAGCGCAGGCCTAGGGAAAACAAAAACCCGTTCTCAAGGCCAAGACTTGTCTTCGCAGGTGGCCGGCGCGCGCGCCGACCGGACCTTTCGGACGTCGCTATTCGGAATACCAGACATGAAGAGACAGGGCGGGTTGCAAACAACCCGAGAGAGGCTCTCGCCCTCCTCCTCCACATCCTCATCCTCTCATCCTCCCGCCTTCTCCTCCCCTGGTGGCCCTAAAACCACTCGAGCGCACAGGTCCAGACCCATGACACAGGGGAATGAAGGATGGGCTGAGCGACGCACTGCCATGAACTTAGGTACAACTTAGTCCCTAAAATTGAGGTTGGGCTGATATTGTGCGTAAGTACTGCGTGGTGGTAACTTAACATAGAGGTGACGGAGCTGGCTTCCAGGGAACCTGTTATCAAGAAACTGAAGAAAAAAAGGCGTAACATACCAACGGACGATTGGCTTTTTGGTGGTAGCATGATATCGGTGGGTTGCAGATTATTGTTAACTTGAAGACACGCACCCCAGAAAACCTAAAACAACATAGTGTTGCGGCAGTTGGTTTTGCTGTTGGTTGGTGCGGTGAAACTGTCTTTTTCTCGTTAACATGAACTGGGAATTCGCTTGGATCCTGAGACGACGACTTACGACGACGTCGGCGATTTGAACACCAAGTCGGCGCTGGGGTCGACGTCGCTCGATTTCACCCTGAGCGTCCCCAGGAAACCCTGGCCACCTTTGGGCGCTCCTCACCACATCCCCAAGCTTGTGGCTCTTGCCCTCCAGCAACAAGAACCGGCCAGCACCTCCGTCCACGAGCTCTCGATCTGCGAACAGGATCAAGCAGCCGCCCTGCGCGCCTATCTTCTCCGTGGCCGGGCCCGTCTGCAGCGCGGTGCCGTCCTCCATCGCGTTGCCCAGTGAGCTGTGCGAGATGACCACCAAGCCGAAGCGCTTGAGAGCAATCGGCCGCATCACAAGCTGGAACCCGCGCCCCCCATGAGCACCCTCATCACCTGGTTCGCCTTATGAGCGCAGCCACTCGAGGCCCCTTCTTGAGGCCCTTCTCACGCTGCAAGATCGCCAGGCCGTACGAGTAGTCAACCCCCAGCTTAGTCACCAACCAGTTGATATTCCCAACCACCTGCTGGTGCTGCTTCCACTCCGTCGCGCTCATCGGCATGTGAGCTTCGTTCCGCCTGCTCCATGGTGCCGTCACTGGCTCCATACCTGCTGCGTACTCCATCATGTCAGTGCGGATCGCTCCTCCAGGTTGCCGACGAAACCTCCGACCGCAGAACGCGAAATCATCGTACTCCTCACTCCCGAAGCCGAACACCTTGCCCAGTGCGTCCATCACTTTCGGCATCTTCTCGTTGCCCGCCCAGAGAAAATCGCCCATTTGAATGCAAACATCCCCAGAGACTGTCGACTCCTCGATGTTTCGCCTTCGGGTCGCGCAGAACAAAAAAAAATTCACTGCGTGGGGATCCCAATATGTGCATCTCCTTGCTGGCGCTCCCTTGGTGGTGGGACTCGGTGAGGACGAATCTGGATTTAAGTGTGACTGAGCTGCCTCTCTCTCTCTCTCTCTCTGCTCTCTCTGTGTCTCTCTCTCTCTCTCTGCCCTCTCTCTGTCTCTGCCTCTCTTTCCCTGCCTCTCTCTCTCTCTCTCTGCCTCTCTCTCTGCCTCTCTCTCTCTGCCTCTCTCTCTCTCTCTGCCTCTCTCTCTGTGCCTCTCTCTCTCTGCCTCTATCTCTGCCTCTC